CTGTGCATTGTTAATTATTAATTACTTCGTTCTATCCCGGAATATTAATTATTGGTGAACCTGTGACCCTAGGCTTCCTTACTATTGTTTCTTTTCTCGCTTAACTTATTCTTCGTAGTATAGATTTCATACCTAAAATTATTGGTTACTTAGATAATTTAGATTATAATAATTAATTAGAATTAAAAAGACCTGTTTCCCTGTGGAGTTCGACCCTACTTCCGTATCTATTTTAGTTAGAGATTTTGGTAATTATTTTTGATTAGGGGATACGACTTTACCCTGTCAAAATTTGGCGCCGTTGCCGGGGAAACGGTTTTATTTTTATTTTCTGATTATATTTTTGTAGTCTAGATTATCCCCCCTTTTGCCTTAGAGAACATTAGTTCTTTGAGGCAAATCTCATATTTGTCTTTAGTTCTTTGTTTATGCCCAGGTGTTCTAGATCAGGTTACATCCCTTTTGATCCTGAGATCGAGCGTTCATTTCATAGGCAAAGGAGACTCTATAGACAAATTCTAGCGGGTTCTGAGGAGGACAACGATCGAAGAGATCCTCCCCCTGATTCTAGTGATACAGATATTCCTTCAGATTCAGAACAGAGATGACGGCCTAGAAGAAACTCAGTGACTATTCGCAACCGAAGCTCACAGATTTCCCGCACCTTACTCCTACTCCGGCTCTAGATGGAGTTCAATTTAAGATCAAGCCCCAATTTATCACTATGATAGAGAGGAAGCAGTTCAGCGGAGCTAAGGGTGAAGATCCCAATCTTCACATCGCAAATTTCTGCCAATATTGTAACACCATTAGACAAGCCGGGGTCACACAAGACCAAATCAGGGAGATTCTTTTTCCCTTTTCATTATGTGTCAAAGCAAAATTATGGTTTAATGGTTTGAATAGGACTGCACTTGGTATTACTGACTGGGAAACTCTTGCTTTGAATTTCTACAATAAATATTATCCCGCAGAGAGAACAGCGGTGCTAAGGAGTGCTATTCAAAACTTCGCTCAAGAGGCCGACGAAACACTATATGAGGCTTGGGAGAGGTTCGAGGATCTACAGAGAGAGTGCCCCCACCACAATCTAGCACAATGGCAATTGATCCAAGCATTTTATAATGGACTTTGAAATTCTTTTAGATCAGTACTAGATTCGGCAGCTAGTGGGAGGTTTATGAATTTAAATGTGGATGATGCAGGACAGGTTATCGAAGACATGGCAATACACATTTCCCAATATGGGAATCCGAGAGGGTTTGCAAATAAAGGAAAACATAATGTCGATTCCGTATCCTTTTTGCAAGCTCAATTAACATCTATTTGTCAAAAATTAGATAATCTTACTACTGCTCCTAACTCTGTAGCTAATGTTTCTACTGTTGCTAACCATGAAGCTTTTTGTGAAAATTGTGGAATTGTAGGTCATTGGGAGCAAGATTGTAGGAGCTTTATGGAACAAGTTAATGCCTTTCAAACCTATAGGCAAAATAACCCCTATTCCAATTCCTACAATGCCGGTTATAAAAACCATCCTTATCTTTCATACCGGAGCACCAATGTACAAAATCCTCCACCTCCACAACAACCACAACAACAAACACCACCACAACAAAAATATTATCATCCTAATTATGGCCAGAAAAGCCAAGCATCACCCTCATCATCTTCCGACCTGCCATGACAGAAATTAGAGCAATGCTTGCCAACATGCAAAAGCATATGGAGAGTAGGGATGCGCAAATTGATTCTATCCTAGCCCATAATAAAATCATGGACAATCAAATTACACAACTTTCATCTACCCTACAATCCCGTTAGTAGGGAGCTCTACCATCACAACCTATCCATCCTACAGATCATGCTAATGCAATCACTCTAAGGAGTGGTTCACATTATGATGGACCTCCTATGCCAAAGGAAGATAGACCAGTTCCTGATCTAGATTCCTCTATACCAAACGGTAATCCTGCTAGCCCTGCAGGGCTACAAATAGATACTAACCCTACTAATGTTTCTGTGCAGGGTAAATCGCAGGATAAGGGAGGAGATGTGCAGAGCCCAGTTATCAAGCTTCCATTCCCTAATAGACAACTGAAGAGTAAGCTTGATAAACAATTCGGTAAGTTTTTAGAGGTTGTGAAAAACCTGCAGGTAACAGTTCTTTTCACTGATTTAATCACTCAAGTACCTGCTTATGCTAAATTCATGAAAGACATTCTGACTAGGAAAAGGGCCTTTCATGAAGTAGAAACTGTAGCTTTCACAGAGGAGTGTAGCGCTTATTTGCAAAATAAATCCCCCCTAAATTAAAGGATCTCGGTAGTTTTTCTATCCCTTGTCACATTGGGAATGTTTTTATTGATAAAGCTTTGTGTGATTTGGGTGCTAGTGTCAATGTTATGCCATCATCTATCTGCGCTAAATTAAATATGGGAGAATTAAAAATTACTAATATAACTTTGCAAATGGCAGATCGTTCGGTAAAATATTCCTTAGGTATTTTAGAGGACGTACTTGTCAGAGTTGGTAAATTTTTCATTCCTGTTGATTTTGTTATTTTAGATATGGCAGAGGACACAAAAATACCCATTATATTAGGTAGGCCTTTCCTCCACACTGCAGGAGCGATCATTGATGTAAAAAATGGTAAACTAACCCTTTCTGTAGGTGACGATAATGTTACTTTTAATTTAGGGAAGGTTTTGAAAGGGCTTATGTTAGAGGAAACTTGTTGCTACATTGATACAATTGATATGATGGACGATATTTATGATGATAGCTTGCCACAGGTTCTTGCGAAGGATCCCTTAGAGGAAGTTCTCTGCGGGAATTTATCTAGCGACAATGCAAGCGTTTGGGGTAATGAGGTACAAGATATTGAAAAGGCTCTTTCCTTACAAGAGTTAAGCCCCAAGGAGACAATGAAGGTATTAAATTTAGTTCAGGAATCAAAACCTGCAGAGGTCAAGAAACCTGAGCTAAAACCTCTCCCTTCTCATTTAAAATATGTTTTTCTCGATGAACAGGAACTACACCCCGTGATCATCAGTACTGCACTCACTGACCTACAATCTTCCCAACTTCTATGGGTCCTCAAAACCCATAAGAAGGCTATAGGGTACAGTATTGATGATCTCAAGGGTATTAGCCCTGATTTTTGCATGCACAGGGTTCATCTAGAGGAAAATTACAAGCCCTGCATTCAACCCCAACGAAGATTAAATCCCAACATGCAGGAAGTAGTCAAGAAGGAGGTGATGAAATTACTTGATGCAGGTATTATCTATCCTATTTCTGACTCCAAGTGGGTAAGTCTTGTGCAGGTAGTGCCGAAGAAGGGTGGGATGACTGTGATAACAAATGAAAAAAATGAATTAATTCCCACTAGAACTGTAACAGGGTGGCGTATGTGCATAGACTATCGTAGATTAAATATCGCCACTAAAAAGAATCACTTCCCTCTTCCCTTTATAGATCAAATGCTTGAGAGGTTAGCCAATCACAAATTCTTTTGCTATTTGGACGGGTATTCGGGATTTTTCCAAATTCCAATTCACCCTGAAGATCAGGAAAAGACTACCTTTACATGCCCTTATGGCACTTTTGCATATCGTAGAATGCCCTTTGGTTTATGTAATGCACCCGCTACCTTTCAACGTTGCATGATGAGTATTTTTTCTGATTTCATAGAGTCTATTATGGAGGTCTTTATGGATGATTTTAGCGTATATGGTTCTTCATTTGATTCATGTTTAATTAATCTCGCTAAAATTTTGAAAAGATGTGAAGAGTGAAACTTAGTCCTTAATTGGGAAAAATGTCACTTTATGGTGACAGAGGGAGTAGTCCTTGGCCATATTGTATTTGATAAGGGCATACAAGTAGACAAGGCTAAAATATCAGTGATTGAGCAATTACCTCCCCCAGTCAATGTTAAGGGAGTTAGAAGCTTCTTGGGTCATGCGGGGTTTTATCGCCGCATTATCAAAGATTTTTCTAAAATTGCTAAACCACTGACACAACTTTTGCTCAAGGATGCCCCATTTATTTTTACTGACGAGTGTCTTGAGGCTTTTAACAGGATTAAGCAGGCTTTGATATCGGCACCCATCATATGTGCTCCCGATTGGAACCTTCCTTTCGAGATCATGTGTGATGCAAGTGACTTTGCACTAGGAGCCGTGCTCGGACAGAGGAAGGACAAGGTTTTGCATGCTATTTATTATGCTAGCAAAACCTTGGATGAAGCCCAAGTCAACTATGCCACCACAGAAAAGGAGTTCCTTGCTGTTATTTATGCTTTAGAAAAATTTAGATCATATCTAGTTGGTTCTAAAGTTATTGTTTTTACTGATCATGCAGCACTAAAATATTTGATAGCCAAGGCGGAATCAAAGCCAAGGCTACTCCGGTGGGTTCTCTTGCTCCAAGATTTCAACATAGAAATAAAAGATAAAAAGGGGGCAGAGAACGTAGTGGCAGACCACTTGTCACGTATCAGGTATGATGAGGGTAAGGATTCTTTACCTATAGATGATTCTTTCCCTGATGACAACCTGTATGCAGTTGTAGAGCATCACCCTTGGTATGCTGATTTTGCTAATTATTTAGTGGGTGGTACTCTACCTCCTGACTTGTCCTACCAACAGAAAAATAAATTCCTTTATGATGTTAAACATTATTTTTGGGATGATCCTTTTTTGTTTCGTGAGTGTGCAGATGGATTATTTCGCAGGTGTGTTCCCGAATGGGAGGTTCACGGCGTCCTTACCAGTTGTCATACTTCACCCTATGGTGGACATCATGGCCCCACTAAAACAGTGGCTAAGATTAATGAGTCAGGCTTCTTTTGGCCTACTATGTTTAAAGATGCTAACACTTTTGTGCAGGCTTGTGACTCTTGCCAGAGGACTGGCAACATTTCGCAGAGGAATGAGATGCCCCAAACTGGGATTCTTGAAGTTAAAATATTTGATGTTTGAGGTATCGATTATATGGGGCCGTTCCCATCTTCCAATGGGAATTGTTACATACTTGTAGCCGTAGATTATGTGTCCAAGTGGGTAGAAGCCATAACTTCACCAACAAACGATTCTAAGGTAGTCATCAAGCTCTTTAAGAAGATCATATTTCCCAGGTTTGGTGTTCCACGAGCTATTATTAGTGATGGGGATACCCACTTCCATGAAAAACAATTGGATAACCTCCTTAAGAAGTATGACGTATATCACAGAACAAGGCTTAGTTACCACCCTCAAACTAGTGGTCAAGTTGAGGTCTCTAATAGGGAAATCAAGGCGATCCTAGAAAAGGTAGTAGCCAAGTCAAGGAAAGATTGGAGTATGAAGCTTGATGACACACTTTGGGCATACCGAACAACATTTAAGACACCGATTGGTACTTCACCTTATAGATTAGTTTATGGTAAGGCATGTCATCTTCCCGTAGAATTGGAGTACAAAGCCTTTTAGGCAATCAAAGAGCTTAATATGGATTCTAAGGCCGCGGGTAAGAAGAGACTTCTTCAACTCAATGAGTTGGATGAGGTTAGATTGTCGGCATATGATAGTGTGCGAATCTACAAGGAGAAGACCAAGAAGTGGCATGACAAGAGGATCTTACCAAGAGAGTTTGCACCGGGTGATAAGGTTCTTTTCTTTAATTCTAGATTGAAGATTTTCCCAGGAAAGTTGAAGTCTAGGTGGTCCGGTCCCTTCACTGTCACAAAGGTGAACAAGTTTGGTTCAGTGGAGTTGGTGAATGACAAAGGTGAAGAGTTCAAGGTAAATGGCCAAAGGTTGAAAGTGTATCATGAAGATGCTACCATTAGAGATGTGGAGGAGACTCTCCTAACTCCACTTCCAACATGAGCTTCAAGGTGGTAAGAAGGTCGTGCGGGACCTAGATAAACCAGCGCTTTGCGGGAGGCAACTCGTATTTCATGCTTTCTAGGCTAGTTTCCCTTTTCCTTATTTTTGATTTTTATTTTAGAGAGGCGAGGAGAGTGATATTTCACCAGTTATAAGTGTTGTTGTACAGGTATGAATTTGACAGGTATAAAGACTTAGAAAAATTTGAAGAAGAAAAGAAATCGGAAAAAAAGGAGTGCAGCCGAGTTGGGCTCAGGCCCGATCGGGCTAGGCTCGCCCGATCGGGCGCACAAGCAACCCAGATTTTAGCCGCAAATTCGCCCGATCGGGCGCGCAATTAAGGCTGAAATCGGACCTATTTTCGCCCGATCGGGCGCGCAAGAAGGGTTGAATTCAAAGGCATTTTCGCCCGATCGGGTGAGGCTTGCCCGATCGGGCGCTTTTTGTGGAAAATCGAGTGATTAGGAAAAGATATATCGGGCGAAGCTCGCCTGATCGGGCGAGCAAAGTGGAGAATTTTGCTTCGTGTTTGCGCCTGATCAGGCGGAGCTCGCCCGATCCGCCCGATCGGGCGCGCAACTGGAGTTCTGAAAATTCGCATTTTCGCCCGATTGGGCGAAGCTCGCCCGATCGGGCGCGCCATCAGACCGTCCCCCTTTATTTTCTTTTCTCTTCTTTCTTTCCTCACTTTCTCCTTATTTCATCTTCTTCATTTAACTTTCTCTCTCTAAAACCTCCATTTTCAAACCTTCAACCTACACTTCAATTCAAGATCTCCTCCAATTCTTCCATCCAAACTCAAAAATTCTTACATATTCCATCTCCCCTCATCTTCCTCTACAATCTACACTAATTTTCCCCTACTTTCTCTCAAATTTTCTCAAACCCTAAGAGAGAGAAACCTTCAATTTCCTACTATTTTACAAGAAGATGGCCTCAAAGCGTTCAAGGAATCAAAGGGGTGAGAGTTCGAGGGCACCACAACCAACGGTCAACCCGGATCTTCAAATTCCGGGATGGGAGGAGGTTGTCATTACCTCGGAGGAGCAACGGGTTAGGATGGTCAACCTCATCGATCGTCAGGTAATCTCTACCTGTTTTATTCATCATCCCACATTAGCTAGGTTAGGCCTAGATAAATATTTGGAAAAATTGTTCAAAGGTATAGGCATGAGTGGTTTTTTCAAATGTGCCATGATACATATGACTACTAAACATTGGAATTTATTTCAAGTTTTAATGTTATTAAAATGAATGCACTAATTACTCATGTACAATTCCGATTATTAAACAACGATGTGAGACTAACTCTTAAAGAATTTGGAAAGTTGTTTGATTTAAAATCGGATAAACCTATTGAACCCTCTCAAGACCACACCACCGTGGTCTATAAGAGGCTAACTGGGGAGGATTTAGTGAACCTCCAGCATGCCAAAGGGACGTGGATTCAACATCCCGTCCCAAAACTTTGGCAAAGATTTGCCGGCCTCACTATTTTTGGGAGGCATGAACCGGAAAATGTTAGGAGAGATGAATTGGAACTATTGACATCCTATATAATTCCTACTGCTGAAAAATTGAACATACCCCATAGGATAGCCAATCACTTCCAAAGGGCGGCTAATGCGGCCGAGGCTAGTAGGTCTAGGGCACCTATTTACTTTGGGGGGTTAGTGACCCACATTGCTAGGAAACACCTAGGTTGGAACCCAGATAGGCATAGGAAAGTTGTGGGATCGAACCTCATGGACCTACCTTATTTAGGGAGTTTGAACTGGGTACAACTGACAAGCGCACATTAGGGCGCGCTTTAAGGCATATAAATGGGTGATTTTGGATGTATTTAGGCCCGTTTTGGTCGTTTATTGCCTTGTTACACTCGTTTCCTTCATATTACGTGCTTCACGGGTTTCGGTCTGTTTTTGGTGTGTTAACAGGTATAGTTGACCAAGTTATGTCGAGTCCCGAACCATTGGTGCGTAATCAGGCTATTATCGATCCTAGTCCACCAAGCTAAGGCTTTGCTGCGGTTCTCAAGGCCTTGAAAGGCAAGTTAAGTAGCAGGCAAGGCAGAACAGTTCACAAATATGACACCTGTTCACTTTTTTGCTCACAACTTTCGGTATATAAATGATAATGGAGTGATTCCAATTGCATTGGAAAGTAGACTTGAAGAGCTTTCCAACGATATATTGCACGCCTCAAATGGAGCTCTGGATAAGAAGTTGTGACTGTTTTAAGAAGACCAAAGTGCCTGCAACCTTCCTGCCTATGCTGCACGGCCGTGCCACTTTTAGCACGGCCGTGCCACTTTTAGCACGGCCGTGCCAAGCATTAGCACGGCCGTGCCAGGCATAAGCACGGCCGTGCCAGGCATTAGCACGGGCGTGCCAGATTCAGCACGGGCGTGCCAGGCATTAGCACGGCCGTGCCAAATTCAGCACGGCCGTGCCATAATTGAAGATATTGCGGATCAGCTACTGCCATGCTTGCACGGCCGTGCCACTTCTAGCACGGCCGTGCCGATTCACGAAGGGCAGCCTGCGATTTACTTTCCGATTTAAAACATATATATATAGCCCGATTGTAAGGGTTAAGAGACAATTTTTCAGAGATAGTTTTGAGAGCCTTTGTAGAGAGCTATTGGAGAACGTTCTTAGTATTAGAGATTCATTAGTTTTCTTAGAGATATTTCTAGAGATTTTAGTTTTCTTGGATTGATTTGAAGCAAGATTTGCGAAGATTCTTTGTATTATTCATTGACGACGGATATCAAAGTTCTAAACTTTTCCATTGATTCGCATCAATACAATTGGTATTATTCATTCTTGTTTATTAATCAAGCTTTATTATTCCTTAATCAGAATTCATGTTTATATCTATTATGCTTTTGGAATTCATTATTGCTTTGATTATGAATATGTGTGAGTAGTCTCCTAGCTAGGGTTTCGGGATGAAACCCGGCCTAGGTAATCTATGTAATTGAGGATTGATTTTGATAAACGGATTGTGATTAAATTGATTATATGCGATTGCATGTTAATTCATTATAATAGGAGTAGCTAACCTAGAATCTTGAATTTGATTGCATGATATTCTTGATTTGAACAAGAGATTGTGAATTGAGTATTTCATTATTGAATGTGGTTTGATTATGTATCGAGTAATGTTAAGTGCATGAGAAATCCAAGCTTAGTATTGCCCGTTGTCTTCCTATCACATGATATTGATCAGACTTATAGTCTTTGCATATCCCGTTTGTCTCTGTGATTCCTTGTTGCTTAGTTACCAATGGTTAGGTGGATTCCCGTTCTCCCTAGTGTCTTAGTTTATTGATTTATTCCATCTTATTAGTAGTATTTTAGAACACCATTTTCCATTGATTTCGAACTAGCTTAGGTTTAAGATTGATTTGCAATTACTCTCGTTCCTCGTGGACCGAACCTTTATTTGCCATTGTACTTGGTTATAGGGTGTTCGTATAAGTATTGTTTGATTGAGAGTTAGATTGTAGCGACCGATTTAACCCTCATCAACAACCTGTGGGGAGAGATACTTGGTGGATAGTCCACCGACAATCGGGTAGGAGAGACCAAGCCTTTACCTTACCCAACCCCGCCTTGACCAAATTTGAGAGGGGGAAGCCCTCTTATATTTTGGAGATAAATGGTCAAGGTGAGGTTTAACCACCTCACCCCTCACCACAACCCCACCATTCCCCCATTCACCATTCACCATACTACCAACCACCTCCACCCTTCACCTATGGCATGCCCACTTCCTCGGTCGATTACAACGTCGACCCCAATGTCCCATATGACTTTTCGGCTTTTAGGAGCCAATTAGACCGCATCGAGACGGGGCAAGGTAGAGTTGAGGGTATGATGCAAAACCTAGACTCTAGGTTAAGCACCTTAGATGGGAGGGTTGGTTACATAGAGAGGAACCTAGGGAGGGGCCTTTATCCCATGTATGATGATTACGCCCGTCGGGGGGCTATTCCTCCCGATTCACTTACTCCCGATTGGTTCCAATACCCCCAAGGAGGGTATTCTCACCCTGGTGCGTATGGTACTTATATGGACTACTCTTTGGTCCACGGATATGGGGGTGATGCTCCTTTTGGGGGTATGGGTGGGAATATGGACCCTAACTACTTTGCAGGTGGTTCGGGGTATGGAGGTGGTGGCTCTAGCCATGGAGGAGCCGGTTCTAGCCACGGCGGGGGCTATTAGGGGATGGATGAGGATGAGGAGTAGGCTACTCTCCCAAGTCAATGAGGGCATTGCTTGATTTGGCTTGGGGGGGTGTTCTTTCACTTGGTAATTCTCTTCCTTTTCTCTCTTTATTTGCTTTCTAGTATAGTTTTTATTTGCTTTCCTAGTGTAGTTTTTATTGCTTTCTTATATATGAAAAATACAAAAAAAATTGAAAAATAAAAAAAAATTCAAAAATACGTTCCAATGAATTGTAAATCATGCTTCCCTGTGCCCCATACTTAAGAAAAATTGTTTTGATTCTTGGTATTTGATGATGAATATTGTGGATTTGTTGGTCATGGTTTGAAGTTTGATTTCTTGGATTCCTAAACATGCGTCAATTTTGTCCAACTACTTGTGAATATAGTGCTTGACTAGTTGATTTGGTTAGGAAATGTGTGATTGTTCCATAGTTCCTGGTATGTCAATGAATTTGAGTATTGATTTGCAACTATGAGTAGTGTTTCATGATTCACTATTATGCACATGTGGAGGACGAAGGCATTTGTTCTTTTAGGTAGCCTTCAGATTTATTTAGATACATTTGTTCCCTTCTTGCTACCCATGTTGTTTCCTTGACTTTTTATTGTTTATAGCCACATTACAAGCCTTAATTGCCCCATTGGTTACTAGTCCCAAGCTTGGCTTGGGGGAGCTATTAGTGAGTGAGGTGAGGGAGTTTGTAGTATGGACATTATTTGCACAATTTGGGTGGGTTTTGAGAAGTAATTTGTTCTTGAT